TATATATATATATATATATATATATCAAACTAACACATTAAAAACTTCTTTTTCTAAGTAAAAAGTAGTGAGATTATGTATTTAGAAAAAAAATATGATATGATTGTTATATAATTTGTATGATTGTTCATATAATTAGTATTGTTAAGATGACATTTTATTAACGAACACAATATAAATACAACATTAATATTAAAAAAGTATAAACTATAAAAGGTATTTTGTAGTTGCAAATTTTGTATGCTATAAGGTTATGTAAGCAAGGTTGCAAGTACAACGAATAGTATATACAGAATAATATAATACAGAAAACGACGCGAACATGGCTACGTAATAAAGAAAATACTGGAAATCACAAGTGAGGCGTTTTATTGACCTCCATACAATCGAGCACGAGTTCAGCTGATCATCCCTATACATATCTCGCTTGCCACGTAGGATCAGATTAAGGCAATAACAAAGAACGAGAGAGGCAGCGAGGAACAAGCACTGATTGACTTCCGTTTGTGTCTCTCTTCTTTCCAGATATTTTGTGTCAAAACTCATGGTGCTGCCTCGGGATCGGCAACAGTGCAGGTCATAATCAGGCATAATCAGGAAGAAGCACATCATCAAGCGGAAACACATGCAGACCCCATATAATCGAAGAAGAAGTCGACGCTCGCTCATAAGAGTGCGAATTCTGTGGCGGCAATTTCATCCGTGAACAGGCTTTTAATTTACATTTAAAGATGCACGAGCCCCATTCAGAAGATAAAGTGCAGCCGCAACAGGACGAGCAATTGGTCTGCGAGAATTGTGACTGTAGTTTTATGACGATGTCGGAGCTGCGTGAGCATCAGAAGGAACACGTTGCCGAGGATTGTTTTAGTTGCGACAATTGTGACTACGTGACCTCCCACAAAAAGGATTTAATCACCCATCAGAAGAGCCACAACGTATCTTCAATTATATGCATCAATTATAAGTATCAATGTGAGGAATGCGGCGAACAATTCCAGAGCAAGAGCGATTGCCTGCTACATCTGTTGTTGCATACGAATAAAAAATTGATTCGGTGCGACGTGTGTAACGTCACATTTCGCCATCCCGAAGGTCTACGATTACACTCGAAATTACATCAACCGGACTATGTACAGCCAGAAACGGAACACCTCTGCAAGGTGTGCAACAAGCGTTTCTCTCAGAGACAAGTGTTGCTAGTGCACATGAAGATCCACGACATGGAAAACAAGTATGTGTGCACGATATGCGGCAAGTCCAAAACCAGCAAATTTTTTCTCACTGAGCACCAACGCACGCACACTGGCGAGAGACCTTATGTTTGCGACATTTGTGGAAAAAGCTTTATCTCGCGAAAATACTTAACCCTACATTGTAAAACACATAGGGGCGAAAAACCGCATGAATGCACTCTTTGTAAAAAAAGATTTACTCAACGGTACGCGTTGGTAGTACATCTACGAAGGCACAGAGGTGATCGACCTTTTCCTTGCACGAATTGTCACAAATGGTTTACTACAAAAGTATTGCTGAACTCGCACTTGAACACGCACATGAAACGAGACACTCGACAGCAACAGAAACAGCAACAGCAGCAGCAAGAAAAGTCGCAACGAAGAAAGGCATCATTACCGTCCGAAACGGTCACTATAATGTTGTAATTAGGACAGTAATTGCTTAGATTCTATATTTTTTTTTATGTAATCAAGCTTGTTTATTTCTCTTATATGTTTCATCAGCACAGATGATATTAGCAGAAGATGCAAAGAATAGATATAAATGATCAGGCACTTTGCAATCTACAAAAATCGATAAGCGTTTTAATTCTATAAAATAACTGGTGAAAATACCTATATTGTAAAATTATTCCATATACAATACTCATATACAAACTACTTCGTAGTTTCATGAAAAATGAAAAAACATATATATTTATGTGAAATATAATATATTTATAAATGTATGTTTCTCTAAATGTTCTCTAAAAACGTGTCCTCTAAAGTTATTAAAAGATATTAAAATTAATTGTCACCTAATTTTATCTCATTTTGGTCAATCTATCCTACATAGCAATTTTTAATAAAAGAAATTGTATTCACGAACTTTGTCAAGATAATGATTAATTAATTAATTGTAGCAAAGATCTTTTAAGATATGTCATTTTCTATGAATACAGGGATATTGCGATTAATAATGCCAAAAACTTCGTCAAACAATAAAATAGGTGATAAGGAGAAACTTACTCACCAATCATTTATATATTATTTATAAATAATATATACAATGCTTGAAGTGTAAATCATTTTACACAACAAATTAATATTATATCAGCAATTTACAGTCAAAAAAAGAAATTCTTCTGCCATATCCTGTTTGAATTATAATTATAAACATTTTGACAATCAATCTCGTATGAGACAATCAGTTCCGGTCTCCCCTACATGATTCTCAATTTGAATATTAGTTATGGTTTCAAATGTGAAACTTTTTTCAAAAAACAGCAAATTCAAAATACAAAAAATCTTGTAAGTATGACACGGATGTGTATGATTACTTAATTCCACTTTTCTTAGTCATGGTCAGAGATAAGATAGAAGAACAAAGAATGAATACTACATATATTAAAATAAATTTGTTGATTCTCAGTGAAGGCTTATATTCTCTGTTTTAATCATCGCTAAAATTTTCATTGATTCAATTTAAGTAGAAGAAGAAGAAGATATTAAAAACGTTGCATCATCTCTAGGCATGATGCTCGCCAACAAATCAACACGATATATCGCTGAATGGGGCCCGAGTCATTGTTATAAAATTGCACAACATTCGGAAAGAATTGATAGATGAAAAGCGGAAACAAGGGGAGCGAATCGATTTCCATATCGCGTAACTTTACAATTGCAGCGACTTAAAAGTATCGAAACAGGAGAGTAACTATCACAGCCAATATTTTTTATTATTATTATGAAACTGATAACGTGCTGCATGAGTTATTTAATTATTAATTTATATTAAAAACATTAACGTTATATAGTTCTTCGACAAGAATTCTGACGAAGATATTGAAACGTGAAGCAACGACACAAATTTCGCTTCTAGGATTACTCTGAAACTTTCGGAATAATAAATTACGTCGAAGACAATGCGATCTTAATTACATCGTTGCACAGCATTCTAATTGTTTCTCTCTCTCTCTCTCTCTCTCTCTCTCTCTCTCTCTCTCTTTCTCGGCTTTCACAAACTTTCAAATTCAATTGTATAACGATTGCCTACATTATCACGAAAATAACAATAAATAACAAAGTTAGACGATATATTTTTTAAAAAGAACTTTTTAACTAGTGTGCCTAAAATTTAAAATTTAAAATTTAAACTTGTAATAAAGATTTATATTTTATATTTA